ATCTTGCCTTCAGTGAATCCCAGGAACCTGTGTTGATCCTTAGTATAAGCTTAAGTATATACTTTTGGGTGATGTTTAGCTTAATTATATATGTTGCTTAGTCTATTCACGTGTCTGTCGGGTGCTTCTAGGACACAGGGCATGATGAATTTCATAAATGAAAAGTTAACATCCTATATTTAACAGATGTAAAAAAAAGACAGTCTATGACTGAGGTGCTGTACATGACTGAGGCATTATTGTAGGGACTAATTTGTCCTTTTAGCCATTTTTTTACATATAATCTTCTTCCTAGTCTGGAATTTTTTCTAGCTTTCACGAGTTTTGGTATTTTTATTGAGTTGAATGTGTAATTAGACCCAAAACTTGGCCGCAAACAAAAAAAAAAGGCATGAAACCTCACGTGATGCTAGTAGACTTTGGTACAAATGACCAATAGATTTTTGAGGGTTTTTTCATAGATACTCCTTAAGTCTTACATATTTTTTTTTGAGAAAAAGGATGGATTACTATATAGTAATCCAGCCAGCTAAATATAACTGGTTGTTACATATAAAATGCACATTTTCCAACCAAAAAATGTGCACAAAAAGTCAACTGAAAATACAAAAGCACCAAAACCCTTTTGTACAAAGATTAAAACTCCCAAAAGAAAGCTTAACTACCACAAAAGAAGTATCATATCCAACAACAATCTTACTCATCACCATATAAACTAAAGCACTAAAGATTGAGGTTAATCCAGTTGAATCACGATACTGTTCTCCTCCCCTGCAGCTCCAGCTGGCTGAATCACCCCCAGTCTCTCATTCTTCTTCTTTCTTCTTGCTAACAATCTGGCCGCTCTATCTGAGATTGTAGAACCTAGCCAAAATGTAGAAAAACTCATAATCTTATTCAAAATCTCCAACGCTCTCTTCTTCTTGTTAGAAAAGAGTCTATCATTGCGCTCCTGCCATATGCACCAAAGAAGAGCACAAAAGAGAACGTCTCTTTTTATCTTGCATTCCTTATTTCCCCCAGCAGTCCAATTAAGCCAAACTTCTTTTAAGGATTTCATTTTGAAGTCTTTCCCAATCTTTAATTTGAACTGAATAGATTTCCAAAGTGAGAATACAAACTCACATTCAATAAACAAATGAGTATGACTCTCTTCAACTTTAGAACACAAAACACAATTTAGCTCCAACTGAATTCCTTTTTTAGTCAAAATATCTTTTGTATTTAAACTCTGTCTTAAAGCTAGCCAAACCATAATTTTCACTTTTAAAGGAATGGAAAGCTTCCAGATATCTGCACAATCAGAACGTAAACCTCCATCAATAAGAAATTGATAGAAAGATTTAACAGAAAAAATACCATTTGTTTCCCACAACCAGATTCTGCTGTCTTCTTTTTGATCAAAATTTATATCCTTGATGAGATTCAGTAAATTCAAAAACTGAAAAACCAAACTTCCTGTCAATTGCCTCTTGAACTTAATATCCCATATCCAGCTGTTATTCCTTTTTTTCCTCAAATTGCTAACTGAAGCATAAGGAGAAGAAGTGATAATAAAGAGGGACGGGAATAAAGAAGCAAGGGTATATGAGTCTAACCATTTATCAAGCCAAAATAATGTATGTTTTCCTTCTCCCACCTCCACACGAGTACTGCATAAGAAACTGTCAACATTGAGAAAAAGATTTTTCCAAAAATAAGATAACTGACCTCTATTTGAATGAATGAATTCTGTCCAATCTTTTCTTTCATAGTATTTATAAAAACTGATCTGTTTCCAAAGCACCTGTTTATTCTCAAACCATTTCCAAAACCATTTCCCTAATAAAGCTTTGTTCATCGTTTTCAGATTTATAATTCCCAGTCCACCAAACAACTTAGGTCTACATATCTCCTCCCACTTGATCAAATTTGTACAACTTTTATGATCTAAAGACCCAGTCCATAAAAATCTTCTTCTCATCCTATCAATCTTATCAATAACCCATGAAGGGAATAAGAAAAAGGATAACCAGAAATTAGGCATTGAAGATAGGACTGAGTTAATTAAAACCAGTCTACCCCCTCTAGACAAAGTTTTGCCTTTCCACAAAGCCAGCCTTAAGTCTTACATATTTAGGAAATTATCTCTTAAACCTTGGTTTTTGCATAATTTCCCCTTAATTCTCTCATATTGATTTTTTGTGCCCCTTCACTTAATAGTTTTCAAATGGGAAATTATTGTAAATCTATTGGAGAATATTGGAAAACTTGACATTATCTTCTCTAAAAAGCACAATTATTAAGTTGGAGCAGTAGAAAGACCCAATATGCTAGCTTTGAGTGATAATTTTGCAAATGTTGAAGATATGAAGGGTATATTTGCCAAAAAATCCTTTTTATTTTTGCTTTCCTTTTTCAGTGGTATCCTAGGTGAAGTACTAATTCCTCCATTCTTTTTGTTCATCCAAATTTCAAGATATTCAAAGAACGGGTGCTCCTGGGAAGAATCAACTTTGTGCAAGGTTGCAAATAAGTGGAGTCCAAATTTTTTATGATCGGTAAATCCTTGAACCTTTGTTACTTGATTTAGTTAATGATGCCAAAATTATTATTATTATCTCTAAAGTAAGCCAGGTTCCTAAATGAATACTCTCTCTGATAACAAAACGGTTTATTATTATACGCTAGAAATTGTTCAAAGTTTTTTTTTTTTGGCCCCATCTAAATCAAAATCATATTCTCAAAGTTTTACCTACAAAGTGAAAAGCTCAAAAACAAAAGACGTTCTTTCCATGTACCTATGAGCAATATGAACAAGATGCTCCTTTGAGAAGTAATCTCTTGAAATGCAAGAAGCTGCCTCTCCGATAACCGAACACTGACACTTAAGTCGGTAACTTGTAGGTAATAGGTCGTCATTTTAAAATTTAATGTTAAAAGCTACTATAAAAATCATGTAACATGTCGACCATAACTAGGATTTGCATCTGAAGCTATCTTTTTTGTATGAGGCGAAGAAAGAGATTGTTTTTCTTGCTTGATCATAGTAAGCAAGTTGTAGGGTTCAAGAGGCCCGTGCTGTATATTGCTACACCTTTCGCTGTGGCAGTAACACACTTGATGGTAACAAAGTAGAGACGTTAGTCTCGACGTATTGATATAACATACGGTTTTGATATGGAACGGGATGCCTCATGATAGTTGAGTTGAGAGAGAATGAACATCGACCTCGGGTGTTCCAAAAAGTTAGCTTCGTGCTTCCTAAGAGAGTCAAACTTAAGACCCGACGTAGTATTCATAGGCAACTTATCAACTCGGCTAGACCCCTTGGGTAAATTCATTTTTCTTTAGCGAAGAATAATACACCCGAAACACCTTTATAAAAAGACCAAGTCCGGCAAAAGAAAAAATACTATAGGGCACCTTTGCATAAAAATCCTCAAAATAGACGATTCTCCTACATCTAGCACAATTAATATATGATACTAATACTATTATAATTCCGGCTAAATTGCACTTAAATATCCTATAGTTTCACCAACTTTCCATATAAGTGACCCCTATTTTAAAACAGAACAAATAAGTATCCCAAAATATTAAAATATTACAGATGAAAGCCCCAACATTAAAGAACCTAGAAGACATTAACTTTTTTCTACATATCCAAGAATATCACGAAATAGAGGGTACCAAACTGCAAGCTTTAGAAACCTTAGGGTATTTACGTGAGACCATCTACCAATAGAGAGTATTTATATCTAATATTAGACAAACAAGAGGGCACTAACGTGCAACATTGCATAAACATGATACCAAAGTGCATCTTTATAGACTTTAGGGTATCTGTTTGCAATATTTAAATACTCCGGGGCATTTATTTATTTGGTTTTAAAATATGAGTCACTTAAGGGCGTGTTTGGTTCAATTTCTACAAATTATAGGAAATGTTTTTCACCCAAAATATGATTTCCTTATATTTCTTAAAAAATTTATAGAAAAAGTTTTGAGAAGTCAAAAAGTACCAAATTTCTTGTTTTTTTACTTTGCTTGTTTGGTTCGAAACAAGAAAATGACTCATAACTTTATAGAAAATAACAAGATTTCCTATAATTTGTAGAAATTAAACAAACACCCTCTAATTTTATAGAAAAATGATAACTTTATAGAAAAGTGTCAATGTGGTGTCAGATTTCTGGGTGATTTTCGCCCATTTTGAGAGAAAAATAATTTCTGTAAATTTTCGTACTTTTTTGTACTTTACAAAAAACATTTTCATAAATTTTTTTGAACCAAACATAGTTTACGAAAATCTACAGAAAAATTTTAATTACAGAATTACAATTGTCAGGCATTTTAAGAAAATTTTTCTATAAAATTGTGCAACCAAACACCCCCCCTAAGTGTAAGGTTGGTAAAACCATAGGGCATTTAAGTACAATTTAGCCTATAATTCCATTTCTTTCTCTGTACATTTTTTAAATCCAACACATTAAAGCATCATCAACATTTCTAATAAAAACATAAGAATAATCAATTAATTTCAAGCTAATACTCCAAAAATAACTTTTCTTTCGACCAAACAATGGATAATACGTGAACGACAACTTCACAAAGAAGATTAAATCTGGCAAAATAAAATATTGGAGTGGGGCACTTTTGCACAAAAGCCCTCAAAATAGACAATGCTCCCAACTAGCACAATATCTATATGATACTAATACTATTACAATTTCAATTATTTTTTTGTACATTTTTGAAACCCAACTTGTCTGAGCATCGTCATCAGCATTTCAAACAATAGGACACAAGAAGAATCAATCAATTTCAAAGTAAAACTCTAAAAATAACTTTTTCTTTCTACCAAACAAGGGTAATACACGCAAACAACTTTAGAAAAAGACCAAATCTGGCAAAAGAAAATATAGGAGAGGGGTACTTTTGCAAAATCCTCAAAATAGACAATGCTCCTACAGCTAGCGGCACAATATCTATATGATATTAAAGTTATTACAAAAATTCTCTACTTTTTTTCCCCTACATTTTTGAAATCCAACGCATCAAAGCATCATCAGCATCACAAATCTCTCTCCGCCCATCTCTTCTCCCTCTCATCATCTTTATATATATAGGTTTGGCTTTCCTTTCCTCTCCCATTTCTTAATTGAAATCCACCGGAATTGGAGGAAACAAAGAAATCATAGAGAGAGAGAGAAAAAAATACGACAAAATCATAAAAACAAGTATATTAAAGAAAGAAGAAGAAGAAAGGTTTCTTTCTCTTCTCGATGCCAACTCTCAGATCTTAACTTTAGAAGAGAGGATCCGAAGCTCCTTAGATCTTGCTAAAGGTAACCTCAATCCGATCTTATCTGCGACGTTATCCTGTTAATTTATCTCCTTTTGTTGATCAGAGAAGGATCTGAGATTCCTTGTTTGATTTCTAAGGTACCCAATTTTTCATTTTTTTATTGATATATCTGCTCCTTTTAGCTCTATTGGATCTGTAATTTAGATCGGTTGATGGGTTTTCTTCTAAATCAATTAAGTGGGTGTTGGAAAAATTTGATTTTTTTATCTGGGTAATGAATTTTTTGATTGAATTGTATTGAGTTATATTGGATCTGATGTGTGAGTTTGTTGCTGTGTTGCTTGATTTTAGTTTGGGAATCTGGGTTTGTCTGAGTTTTGAGATTGATGGATAAATCTGCGTGTTTTTTATTGCAGAGGATGATGGAGTCAGATCTTGGCAAGCTCTTCATCGGCGGGATTTCATGGGACACGACCGAGGATCGCCTCCGCGAGTACTTCCAGGGCTTTGGAGAAGTTGTGGAGGCTGTGATCATGAAGGATCGGACCACGGGCCGTGCCCGTGGCTTTGGATTCATCGTCTTTGCTGATCCTGCTGCTGCTGAGAGAGTGGTCATGGAGAAGCATTTGATCGATGGCCGGATGGTAAGTATCTCGCGTTCCAACTAAATTTTGTCTTTGATTTGGATTCTCATTGTGATTGCTGTCAAAATTGGCTTTCAGGTGGAAGCTAAGAAGGCTGTTCCGAGAGATGATCAAACTATCATCAACAGGAGCAGCAACAGCAGCATTCATGGATCTCCCGGTCCAACCCGCACAAAAAAGATCTTTGTCGGAGGCCTGGCTTCTACTGTTACCGATACTGACTTCAGGCAGTACTTTGAGCAGTTTGGGGCTATCACCGATGTAGTTGTCATGTACGATCACAACACACAGAGGCCAAGAGGATTCGGTTTCATCACTTACGAATCTGAGGATTCTGTGGACAAAGTTTTAATAAAAAACTTCCATGAGCTTAATGGTAAGATGGTGGAGGTTAAGAAAGCTGTACCCAAAGAGCTCTCCCCTGGTCCAAACATTCGGTCGCCTATTGGAGGATATAGCTATGGAATGAATAGAATGAATAGCTTTCTCAATGGTTATAATCAGGGATTCAATCCAAGTTCAATTGGTGGTTATGGAATGAGGATGGATGGTAGAATTGGACCTCTAACTAGTGGGCGAACCGGGTTTCCTTCCTTTAGTCCTGGTTATGGAATTGGAATGAATTTTGAGACTGGGATGAGCCCGAGTTATGGAGGCAGCTCAAATTTCAACAGTAGCCTTGGTTATGGACGGGCTTTGAGCCCTTATTACAGTGGAAATTCCAATAGATTCAGCAGTCCTATTGGTTATAGTGGGGGTAGTGGCAGCCCTGGGTCAGTTTTTAGTTCACCGGCTCGTAATTTATGGGGAAATGGGGGGTTGAACTATACTACAAACAATGCAAGTTCTAATTCATACTTAGCCTCTGGAAGTGGCAACCTTGGAGGATTTGGTAACAGTGGACTTAACTGGGGAGGTTCCTCTTCTCCTGTTTCTGCTCCTGTTGCTGGAACAGGAACAGGCTATTCTAGCTCTAGCATCGGTTATGGAACTGGAGAGAATAGCTTCAGTTTGGGTGCCAGCAATTATGGCAGGAGCAGTGGAGCTGGAGTTTCTGCTAATATTTCTTTGAGTGCATTGAGCAATGGATATGAAGGAAATTATTCGGAGTCTTATGGAAGCAGTTCGATCTATGGTGATCCAACTTGGCGCTCTGCATCGTCTGATCTTGATGGATCTGGCCCGTTTGGTTATGGGCTTGGCAATGCAGCTTCTGATGTCTCAGCCAAGGCATCAGCTGGTTATGTTGGAGGTTATAGTGTTACCAATAGGCAGTCAAATGGAGGTAAGGAACTTCATTTACTTTGTTGTTGACTTTTAGATTATGCTTCTTACTAGTTTTTTTTATTTATTAATGAAATGGATATTACACCTTGTTGTTTATCTTGATGCCTTAATGCCTGAAGTGCGAAGTACATTGTATATCTTCACTTTCCAAATGTCAGTTGCTATGTTCCCAATCTCCCTTTTCAAATCATCTCCATTTTCTCAATTAAACCCTAAATTTATATGCTTACCTTGAAGTAGTATAGCCTGAAGACTGGACGTCTAAAACACCAGCATGCGAATGTGGTAACTTTGTCATGCTAAAACAGTTTATTAATTTTTATTAAATATACTTATATATGTTAAAAAATCAATGTTAAAATATCAAAACGAGTTTGAAAAGAGATAAGATTCACTTGTATAATATTTCATAACAAACATTGTTTTCAATAACTTTGATCTTCAGAGTTATGCTGTTTTATTTAGTTCTAACCACAAATATATTAAACAATTCGGCAAAACTGTGGTGCTTGGTTGAGTGGTGAAGGGGATGCAAAGCTGAAATCAAATCCTAGAATGGTATAATTACATAAATTCACCTCTTTCTAGAATAGAAAACTTGACAATTGTAATTCAATGACTGTGTAGACTTTTAATATTTTTATGTTAACATGCCAAGGTGGATCAAGTGACTAGCAAAATTTGGTTAAATGAAGGTTTGACTATTCAAGGTTAAGGAGTTTCCTGTTTTAATCTTGCCGTAAGAAGTAGCCAGTGAATTCTCTTGCCCCGCTTCATTTGTGTGTTGCTTTCTCTCAGCTTTGTGATGGTGGCTCACCCCCCCCCCCACCCCCCACCCCCACCCCCCACCAAAACACCCCAAGGAAAAAAATCCCTCACAATAGCTTAACGTAAGCTTACATAATGCAGCTCACTTCAATTTATGTTCTTACCTCTCGAACTAGGAGAACAAGAAAGAAAGTCTATTTAAAAAGGATGCCAAGAAAGTATTGTAACTCACTTCAATTTAGGTTCTTAACTTTTTAACTAGTAGAACAAGAAAGAATAAGTCCGTAATTCGTTTTGCAACTTTTATTGGTCAATCTGCCTTTCGATTATAGAATCAGAAAGCAACATGACCCTCTCTCAGTGCACTGCTGCCTCTTTCCTTATCGTGCAACACCCAGACTAATGCCAACAATTTGAAAAATATTAGAAAGTGAATCCATTAGTCATCACTTTAAAGAGAGAGAACTTTTTAACTCTCTTACTGGTAAAACCAGAAATTAACAGTCTGCAAAATGTGCAACTTTTGTTGTTCCTTTTTGCTATATATGTTTTTAATAATTTTAACCTCTAGAATCGGAAAGGAATAAGGTAGGTTAGCATCTGCTCTGGAATGAAGTGATGCCATATTGATATCATGTGTGGTAAATAACTTTAATGAGCTTTGCACGATATGGAGATCCAATTAATTGAACCCGTTTTCTGTTGATCTATACAAGAAAGATTCTTCATTTTTGATCTATTAGGTATAGTTGACATTGGCAAACTATGGAGCACTAGCATGTATACGGAACTGACTGGGACTGAATGTTACATGATAACTATTGTGAGCATCAAACACATTTGAATTTGACAATGACGACCCCCCCCCCACCCCCCCCCAAAAAAAAAAAAAAAAAAAAGAAACAACAAACAAGACAACAGAAAAAGGCCCTAATATTCTGATTAGCTGATTAATTACCAGTTCAGGGGGTTTTGTGGAACTAGATCATAAGTTCAGGGGGCTTTGTGGTAATAAATCAAAAGTTATGGGGGTTTTGTGGGAACAAACCAAAGGTTCAGTGTAGAAAATTATCAGCCAAAATATAAATAAGAATTTCCAGAGGATTTTTTTACTCACGGTGTTTAGATTAATTGAATTCATGTTCTTGGCATGCGGGGGTTAAAACTAACTGTGTTAACTTGGGGGGTTTTGTGGGAACAGTTTTAGAGGTTTTGTGGGAAAAGTTTTTTCCGGCGGGGGGGGGGGGGGGGGGTTAGCAGGAAATACCACAAAAATTTCTGGGTTTTTTTTTGGTGAAATTTTCTCTAAGAAAACTTTGAATATGAATATGACATGAAATTCTTGTCTCCGTGTATCTATATACACTTTATGTGTTCAAGATGACATGTTCGGGGTAAGAGAAATAGTGGGCGTCGGTTTTTTCTTTGTGGGTGTCTAGAAACTCCGATTTCTACGTTAATGCTTGAGATGTTAAGTTTGTTAAGATCGCCTTGCCAAAAAGTAAAGAGACTAAAACAAACCTAGCTTTTATTTATATTTATTTGACTCCCATTTGCTCTGATTCTGAAATCTGTTTATATGACCACGTGATGAATCAGTGATATATCCCAATTGCATTATATCTCATCCATATTTTTTTTCAAAGGAAAGGAACTTATAATGAGTGATGTGAATGAACAAATATTTTTAGGCATTATGATAGATAATGCTAATCAAGAAATCGGTACTTGGATATCGGAATTGAAGACCGTCTACATAGGAAATTACCTCTTATAGTAGCTCTGTTCCCACTATATACACAAACAAGTACAAACATGCACGTAGATGGAGATGGACGTGCCATGTTGTAAACTACAAAAAGATAAGGATGTTAGCCACTAGAAAAATGCATTTTTATTTTTTTTATCATAACTAAAAATTATCACAAATAAAAACTATCAAAAATAAAAATCATCACTACACATAAAGATTAGGCTTCACTTTTTAGCTTTTTTTGATCACTCCAATGCAGACTGAATCATTTCGCATCCTAGATCTAGTAGAACGTATGAATTACTGTAAAACACAATTCTTAATTTGACACAAAAAATGACAGGAAAAACATATCCCATCATGTTCTATTGAAATTGCATCTAAGAATTGACAAAAAAGGATGTATTGGATTCAAACTATGTTGTGAAATTGAGGATATGTTGGAGAAGTTTTTTGTAATTACCAAGAGAATTTTTATAAAAAAGTGTTACGCCAGGTGCATGTGAAATACAAATAGAAATCTGTAATATTAACATGGGTTTCTGAGAGAAATTTTCATGCTACATAGCATGTAGTTACTCTTCTTAATGTTTTGTCTAGGAAAAGCCAGCTACCATCCTCAAAATGAAGCCAGTTCATATAAATTGTGCGCATGACAGATGCTAAGAGCATAATACGAGTCTTTTTCCATTTAACCTCATAAGAGATGTCCATTATAGGGAAACAACTATAGTGTTTAGTGTAATTTAAAAAACTCATACAACTTAAGATTCACCACTAACTCCTATCTTTAGTTGTTCCAAGCATTATAGCCACATGTAATCTTAAAAATTCACATGCATTGCACTTGCCTAAATCTAGTTATGTTGACTGACTATTGAGATTCCTTCTTTACGTGTTTCCATCTTAGATTTGTTCTTATTTTGATGGGTAGGAATCCTGAATGAATCTTCAATTTGTATACTTAATTCTCGTCTCACTTCAGTCTGATAGCCATATTTCTAGTTATGATGCTAATTTCTCTTATGTGTCTTTCTTTTGTTGATTATATTTCCAGGAATTGCTGCCTAAGAAGGAAGTCATTCTGTCAATATCTTATACAGGTGAAGAATCCAGTGAAACAAGGTGCACGACTGTGAGTTTCATATATCTCGTGAATATATATGGGTTAGTAAATAATCTAGAGCTAACCGGAGAGTTGATTCAAGAAAAATTCAAAATTCAGAAATTCAAATATAATAGGATTTTGTGTAAGGTTTGAGATTTGGTTTAATTTCCCCACATCGAGTTTAGATTTGGTACTTTGAGTTGTGATTTAGATGTAAAAGCAAACTGCGGAACTATATTCAGAAGAGTGTTCAGATTGTGCCGGCAATGAGCCAAACAGACTTCTACTATTTTTCCCCCTCTTTTCTTCCCTTTTTTTCCTACAAAAAATTGCTGTAATATCTGGCATTATTGTTTCAGCCTACTGTCAGGTATGTATGTTCCTTTTCTTTTGTTCTAAATTTTACATCAGATGTATTGGAGACATTGATTTACTAGTGTGAAATTGTTGGGAGGCCATCTTGGTCCCCAAGAATAAGGTCATATTAAATATTCCTGTTTACTTCTGTTGAAAACTTATTTTTTTTAGAAACATTTGTTTGTAATTTGAATTGTTTAATTTTGAGAATCATGTTGTTATGTGCTTATTATCCTTTCTCCTAGCTGTAGAAAAACATGGGTTCATGTGGATTTTGGCAATCTTTTGTTTTCTTGTAGAAGTTGTTTTTGAGTTCTAAGTCTTGTTGGCTGGCTGCAACGCTCCTCGAGCAGCCTGGACACGTTGCCTTCGCGTTTTATTTGTGTTAATTTCACGAAAACCCCATGTTACTCTGTGGGCTTTGCACAAAACCCCCTGGGCAATTTTACAGTTAGCTACTGACTATCGCTTCAATAATAGCCTTTTCGGGTAGGGGCGGGTAAAAAGTGAAAAAAAGATTAGTTTGAACTTTTTGCACGACCTGTTAACTTTGTGAAATTTTCCAATGGATCATGATTATTTATTTCAGGACGGGTTTTGTGACTTCTGTCCCCTCTTTGCCCTTTTCATTCTTGTCCATTTTTAGCATTTTCTCTAAGGTAGAAGATGTAGTAGCACATGTGATGTCTTAAATGGGTTCTGGAAGACTTTGTTATGTTTTCGGCACAGACGGTTATCATCCTTGCCTTTATTTTCTTGATTACCTTGGTACGGTTTCAGACTCGGTTATAGTAATCCAGTTGTAGAAGTTGGACCAGGTTGCCGCCTTTTTATAGGAAGATGCTCAATATTGCATATTACAATGCTAGGGGCTAAACATGTATGTTACAGTCGACTATCTTGTTGGATAAACTTATTGCTTGGAAATATGCTACAGATCATAGAGGGTTTTCTTGTACGAGTACATGTTCTGCAAATGAGTAGGAAAAGGATAGCATAAAACGGGTGGTACTTTTGATTCTGGTCAAAAAATTTATGATGTTTTAATGCGAACTCTTTTAACAATTTCTGTGAAACTACCCTTATAATGGATTATATATGACGCCAGAGTTAATTCTTTGGGAAAATTGCTTCTGTTCTTTAAAATGGGGAACATAATTTGGCCCACCCCCAGCACGTTTGCAACACTCCAATAACCCCCAAAAGCAAATGGGTTTCCTCTGTACTTTATAAACATGGTTACACAAAAAAAAAACCCTTCACATATGCACCTGATTGCGGAAAAAACCAGAAAAAATGGAGATGATGTGACTTGATTTTTCATCATTGTGGTACATTAAATGCTGATTAGGAAGGGTTTTTGGAGGGGGGAAAATCCTACTTCGCTCCAATTTAGTTCTTGCAACCATCCTCTACCTCTATCTCATAGCCGTTAAATTCTCTCCATCTACTCTCTCACACTCATAGTCATTAAATTCTCTCCATAAATCATTTTTGCATTTTCAACTACTTTTCTTCATAATGACAAAAAATCCCTCCTTTGCATGGTTACAAACACAACAAGCACCAAAGCGGGCGAGGGTGTTTCCCTAACTATTAATGTCTCTATAAAAATCTTTAGCTTGAAGTATTAAGTGTCCCAAAGGCTTAAGCTCTAGTTGCAATATCTTTCATTGAAATTCATATTTGAAAGGGGGAAAAAATTTTACTTTTGCAATTGAAAACGATGCGGACTTGAGCTTGTTGTTCAAGTATTGTCTTCGTAATGGATTTACAGACATTATTATGCTACCACAGTTGCAGATGCATCAACTTCTCAGAACACTAAAAGTTTTCTAGAAAATGTGTAAACAAACAAATTTTTAAAACCCCCCCCCCCCCCCCC